ATTTTTAGTAGAGACAGGGTTTCACCATGTTGCCCAGGCTGGTCTCCAACAACTGAGCTCAAGTGATCTGCTGGCTTCAGCCTCCCGAAGTGCTGGGATTACAGGTGTGAGCCACCATGTCCAGCCAGAAATTGAATCTATAATTAATAACCTTCCACGACAGAAAGCATCAGGCCCAGATAGTTTTTTGTTGTTGTTATTTTGCTTTTTAGTGGCTTAAAACAACACAAATTCCCCAGGAGTTCAAGATCAGCCTGGGCAATATAGTGAGACTCTGTCTCTAAAAAACAAAACAAAACAAAATCACAAAATTTTGCTATCTTAACATAGTGGAGGCCAGAAATCCAATATGAGTCTCACTGGGCTAAACACAAGGTGTTTGCGGGACTTTGTTCCTTTTTGGAGGCTCTACAGAAACCATTTCCTTGTCTTTTCCAGCTTCTAGAGGCCACCCGCACTCCTTGGCTCATGGCTGTCTTCCTCTGTGTTCAAAGCCAACAACATAACATCTCTTTGACTCTGCTTCTGTCATCCCCATCTCTTTCTCTTTCTCATTTGTTTCCTTCTTCCTCTTTCATAGAGACCCTTGTGTTTACATTGGACCCACCAAGATAATCAAGTATAATCTCCCTATTTTAATGTTTAGCCACCTTAATTCTGCTGTAACTTTATTTAATTCACCTTTACATGTAATTTAACATATTCACAGGTTTTGTGGATGAAGATGTGGACATCCTTGAGGGGCCTTTATTCTGCCTACTACACTATCCCAGCCCCTTCACTATGATTTTTAAGTACATTCCAGTATTTGTTAGAGGCCCAGACAGCTTTACTGGTGAATTCCACCAAACATTTAAGAAAGAAATGATATTCTCTATAGTCTCTTCCATAAAAACTGAAGCAAAGGGAACACTTCCTAACTCACATCCTATGAGGCCAGCATACTCTAATACTAAAACCAGATAAAGATATTACAAAAAGTAAAACTCCAGACTAATATATCTCATGAACATAAATGCAAAAATCCCTAACAGAATATTAGCAAATTAAATCCAACAATGTATAAAAATATTTATTCACATAGCCAAGAAGGATTTATTCCAAATATGCAATGCTGGTCCAACATTTAAAAATTAATTAATGTAATCCATAACATTAACAGGTTAAAGAAAAATCATATGATCATATCAATAAATGCAGAAAATGCATTTGACAAAGTCTACTACCAATTTGTGATAAAAATTCTCAGCAAACTAGGAATAGAGGGGATTTTTTAACTTAGCAAAGAAAGTCTACAAAAAGTCTATAACTAATATCACACTTAATGGCAAGAAACTAGGTGTTTTCTCTTTCTTTTAGACTGGGCATGAGGCAAGGATATCCCCTCTCACCACTCTTATTCAACATTATACTCAAAGTCCTAGCTGATGCGATAAGAAAAGAAGGAAAATAAAAGGTATACAGATTGGAAAGGAAGAAATAAAACTGTCTTTGTTCACAGATGATATGATTGTCAATGTAGAAAATCCCAAAGAATAGGCAAAAAATTCCTGGAACTAAGTAATTACAGTAAAGTCACAGGATATAAGGTTAATATACAAAAGTCAATTGCCTTTCTATATACCAGCAATGAACATTTGGACTTTGAAATTAAAAGCACAATATCATTTATATTAGCATGAAAAAATTAAATATTAAGGCATAAATACAATAATATATGTACAGGATCTATATGAGGAAAACGACAAAACTCCAATAAAAGAAATCAAAGAATATCTAAATAAATGGAGAGAGATTCTATTCATAGATGGGAAGACTTAATATTGTTAACATGTTAATTCTCCCCAACTTGACCTATAGATTCACTGTAATCCCAAATAAGCTCCCAGCAAGTTATTTTGTGGTTATCAACAAAATGATTCTATGGTTTACATGCAGCAGCAAAAGACTCAGAATAACACCAAACTAAAGAACAAAGTCAGAGGACCGATGCTACTCAAATGTAAGACTTACTATATGGTAATCAAGAGAGTGTGGTATTGACAAAATAATAGACAAAATGATAATGGAGCAGAATAAAGAGCCCACACATAGACCCTTATAAATATAGTCAACTAATCTTTGACAAAGGAGAAAAGGAGCAAATGTTATTCAATGGAGGAAGAACAGTCTGTTCAGCAAATGGTGCTGGAACAATTGGATATCAATATGCAAAAAAATGAATCTAGACATACAATTTATACTTTTCATAAAAATTAACTCCAAATGGATCTTAGAATTACATATAAAACATAAAACTATATAACTTCTAGAAGATAACAGGAATATCTAGTTACCTTAGGTTTGGCAATGAGTTTTCAGATATGACAACAAAAGCATGACCCATGAAAGAAAAATTATTAAGTTGGACTTTATTAAAATTAAAAACCTTCTCTGTGAAAGGCATTATTGAAGGAATGAAAAGCTGAAGGAATAAAGAGAAAGAATTTCTTTTGCAAATTTTCACAAAGAACGTGAAAAGATCTTTGCAAACGTGTATTTAATTAAAAATTTGGGAAAAAAGAAAAAAAAGATGCCACCTCTATCACCTTGTCAGATGTCAGTCAGCTCGAGAGGGTTGATAATGTTGTCTATGTCTTCTACATCCTTTATGGCTTTTGTACCAGCTGTTCTATCAATTATTGAAAGTAAATTATTGAAATATTCAATTATTGTTAACAAGTTATCTATTTTCCTTTTTTTAATTCTTTACATTTTGACTTGAATATTTTGAAGCTCTGTTGTTAGGTGCAGATACATTATTTTTCCTTGATGTATTTAACCTGTGTTCATTATGAAATACCCCTTTCATGCTGAGTAGTATGTGTTTTAACATCGATTTTGCCTGATACCAATATATTCACTTGAGCTATATTATGGTTACTGCTTGTATAGTGTCTATATTTTTTATTTTTACTTTGGGACTATTTGTGTCTTTGAATCTAATGTATGTCTTTTGCAGTTAGTGATGATTGAATTTTTCTTTTTACTCAGTCTGTCTGACAATTTTTGCTTTTTGATTGCATTATTAGAACTATAACATTTAATACAATGATTGATATGGTTGTACTTAAATTTACCATTTTGCTAATTGTTTTCTGTATTTCTCCTGTCTTTCTGTTGTTGTTGTTGTTCTTTCTTTCATCTTTAATTGGCCTCTTTTTTCTTAAATAATATTTTCCAGTGTAGATTTTTAGTGTTTCTGTTTTCGAGTTGTATTATTTCAGTTGTTTTCTTAGTGGTAGCGCCAGTGATTGCAATATGCATACTATCCTATCACAATCTACTTCAGATTAATACATAGACTTAATTCTAGTAAAATACAGAACCTTGCCTTCAACATTGCTTCACTTTCTTTCTTGTCTTTTGTAATTTTATTGTCATATATATTACATGCATATATGTTGCAATCTGTTAATATAGTATTTAATTTATTGTGTTAATAAACTTAATGTCTTTTAAAGTTACTAAGAAAATAAATTGGAAGATTTATTAAAAAGAATTTGTATCCAAAATATACAAAGTCCAGCCTGGGTGATGGAGCAAGACTCTGTCTCAAAAAACAAAAAAATTGTGTACTTTATATATATATATATATATATTCTTAAGAGTTCTTTGAGTCACTTCAATAGAAATCACTTCAATAAAAAAAACACAGATGGCAAATAACCATATGAAAAGATGTTCAACATCAGATGTCATTAGGAAATTGCAAATTAAAACAATAAAATACCACCATACACCTATTAGAATGGTCAAAATAAAAAAAACTGACAATACTAAATGCAGGGAAGGATAAGGATAACAGGAATACTTTTTCACTGCTGGTGGTAATGCAAAATGGTAAGCCACTTTGGGAGACAGTATGGCAGTTTCTCATGAAACTACACAGTCACACTCCAGCAGTCACACTCCTAAGTTATCTACACAATTGGGTTGAAAACTTATGTTCATACAAAAACCTGCACACAAATGTTTATAGCGGCTTTATTCTTAATCACCAAAAACTGGAAGCAACCAAGATTTCCTTTAATGGGCGAATGGATAAACACACTGTGCTATATCCATACAATGAACATTATTCAGCAATAAAAAATGAGCCATCAAGTCACAAAAAGACATGGAGGAAGCTTAAATGCATATTGCTAAGTGAAAGAAACCAGTCTAAAAAGTCTACATACTGTATAATTCCAACCAGCTACATGACATTTTGGAAAAAGCAAAACTGTAGAGACAGTAAAAAGATCAATGGTTACCAGGGCTCAGGGGAAGGGATAAATAAGTGAAGCAGAGAGGATTTTTAGGGTGGTGAAACTATTCTGTATGAAACTGCAATGGTGCACATATGCCATTATGAATTTGTCAAAACCCACATAAACTTACAACACAAAGAAAGAACCTTAATGTGAATTATGGACTATAATTAATAATAAATTAATATTGGTTCATCATTCGTAACAAATGTGCCACACTAATGCAAGATCTTAATAATAGGAGAAATTGTGTAAGGAGGAATGAGGGTATGGGGTACGGTGGGTGTATGGAACTCTATGTATTATCTGTTCTATTATTCTATAACCTAAACCTATACTTTAAAAAATACAGTATATTAATTTATCTTAAAAATAAAATCATAGGGACCAAAATAAATAACTTTTTTGGTTCTAATACAAAGATAATATACACGCCTTTATATCATACGAGAGCGATTCCAAACAAATAAATATATGGAGAGTATAAAATTTTTATTTTATTATACTTTGATACCCTTCTTGACCTTACTATACTCCTAGGTACAAAGCAACATACTGTTTGTAAACAATAAAACATTTCATTAAAAATCATCCATTAATACTTCAAGTTTCCTTTGTACACTGGAGATATTGGATTAAATGCCTTCTTAGAAATGCCATGTTAACCATTTATTTTAAAGTTTCTAAAATGCATGTTTTCCAGTGGTTTGGTCTTAGTGATTTTACTTAATGGAATTATCTGTGATGCTCTGGGATGTGAAAATCATCTTGTGTCCCCCACTTCCACAAGTAAGTAACAATGCTTTCACCTCTAATCTTCATGTGGCTGATTTTTGTTTGAAGTTTATGGGCAAGATTTAGCTCCGTAGATAAGGACAGAAACGCAGGTCTGACAAGTTACATCAACATCAGGACTAAAAGTCGCAGGACTACAAACCACTGCAGAGGAAAACACAGGGAGTAATTATAATTTAGAGGTATTTTATGCCTCTACCACTTGGAGGCATTTTATGCCAACAATGTAAATCTGCCTTTAATGTCACACCATTTCAGTGCCTATATTATACCAAGTAATGTTCAGCTCATTTAAGTTGTGGAAGATTATTTACGAGTTTCAAACTTTATAATTTGATGATCTTAATAGGAGAAAGGGAGAATCCTATTTTTTCTTTTACTATCAGCATTTTACAGTATCTTCTGCAGTACCCCATTTATGAGTTCCTATTTCTAGTTTTCTAGTTCCTATTTCCTAGTTCTCTGCTTTCTAGGTAGGACAATTCTGTTTTCCTTCATTGTACAGTAGCTTAAGACCCAACATTATAGAAATGTTTATAATACAAGAGAGTACATCAGGAAGAATTAATATACATTAAAATAGCTATATTTAAGAAATTTGGGCTTTGGCTGGGCGCAGTGACTCATGCCTGTAATCCCAGCACTTTGGGAGGCCAAGGCGGGCAGATTGCTTGAGCTCAGGAATTCAAGACCAGTTGGGGCAACAGGGCGAAACTCTGTCTCTACTAAAAATACAAAAATGTTTATGCACACCTGTAATCCCGGCTACTCGGGAAGCTGAGGTTGAAGGATGGCTTGAGCCTGGGAGGCAGAGTTGCCGTAAGCTGAGACTGCGCCACACTGCACTCCAGCGTGGGTGACAGAGCCAGACTCCGTCTCAAAAAAAAAAGGGCCAAGCATGGTAGCCCACACCTGTAATCCCAGCACTTTGGGAAGCCAAGGCAGACGGATCATTTGAGGTCAGGAGTTCAATCGAGACCAGCCTGGTCAACATGGTGAAACTCTGTCCCTACTTTTTACAAAAATTAGCCAGCTGTGGTAGCTACTGGGCAGGCTGAGGCAGAAGAATAACTTGAACCCAGGAGACAGAGGTTGTGGTGAGCTGAGATCGCGCCACTGCACTCCAGCCTGGGCGACAGAGCGAGACTCTATCTCAAAAAAAAAAAAAAATTGGGGCTTTGAATTTTTACTTCCCTTTAGCTAAATATATACATATATATATATATATATTTTTTTTTTTTTTGGTAAGAGAATCACTGTAAAGATTCTATTCAGTTATGCCAAGTGAATTACTTATATATTCTTCTGACTCTATAACCTAAATATTTAGATATTTATATTTTATAGTTACCACAACAGCTAGCGCAATTACTGTGTAGACTTTCATCTTTTCCAAAGCCTGGTCGACAGCTATCCAGACGTACTACTTGCAAACTGTGGTCCACAAAATGCATTGCTGGTAGAGTTTTATTAAAGTTATGGTAGAAAATATATGCTTGGCTCCAGAAAAATTCTTCTATTCGATCTCTTGCCTAAGGTTGAAAAATACCAGAGAAAGGTACAATTACTAAACCATGAACCAAATTTATCCTGCAGTATCACAGGCAATAATGTACTGTAAGCATGCCATACTTTACATAGAGAAATTCCTGAAAAGGTGTGTGCTAACACCAAAATTAGTCTAGCCTTGACCTTATCAATTGTTGTTAATTAATATGTGCAATGGTTAAGAAAAATTGGCTGGGCGCGGTGTCTCATGCCTGTAAACCCAGCACTTTGGGAGACCAAGGCGGGCACATCAAGAGATCAAGAGATCGAGACCATCCTGGCCAACACGGTGAAACCCCGTCTCTATTAAAAATTCAAAAATTAGCTGGGCGTGGTGTTATGTGTCTGTAGTCCCAGCTACTCAGGAGGCTGAGGCAGGAGAATCCCTTGAACCCAGGAGGCAGAGGTTGCAATGAGCCGAGATCATACCACTGCACTCCAGCCTGGGTGACAATGCGAGACGCCATCTCAAAAAAAAAAAAAACAAAATAAATAAAAATTAAAATTAAAATTAAGATTAGGCTGGGCGCGGTGGCTCATGCCTGTGATCTCAGCACTTTGGGAGGCAGAGGTGGGCGAATCACTTGAGGCCACGAGTTCGAGACTAGCCTGGCCAACATGGTGAAACCTCATCTCTACTAAAAAATACAAAACTTAGCCAGGTGTAGTGGCAGGCACCTGTAATCCCAGCTACTCGGGAAGCTGAGGCACAAGAATCACTTGAATCCAGAGGCAGAGGCTGCAGTGAGCCGAGACTGCGCCACCGCACTGCAGCTTGGGTGACAGAATGAGACTCCATCTCAAAAACAAAACAAAACAAAATGAAAAGAAAAATTAAGACAAAAAACTTGTTTTGAATTATTTGCAACATCTATCCCATATGTAGATAATTGGGTGTTCATTATATCTAATTTCCATGATCATCAAAGAAAAAGAGTCAAGCAAAACGGAAAGTAAGACTTTTCTTGGCCGGGTGCGGTGGCTCACACCTGTGATCCCAGCACTTTGGGAGGCTGAGGTGGGCAGATCTCTGGAGGTCAGGAGTGAGACCAGCCTAGCCAACATGGTGAAACCCCGTCTCTGATAAAAGTACAAAAAATTAGCTGGGTGTGGTGGTGCACACCTTTAGTCCCAGCTACTTGGGAGGCTGAGGCAGGAGAATTGCTTGAACCTGGGAGATGGAGGTTGCAGTGAGCTGAGATGGCCGCCACTGCACTCCAGCCTAGGCAACAGAGCAAGACTGTGTCTCAAAAATAAAAAAAAGAAAAGAAAAGAAAAGAAAAAAAGACTTTTCTTTAATCAGCATTATAAACTGATGATGTAAATTTTGGGTTTTTGAGCACAGAATTTAATAATAACTAATTTTAACAAAGTACTTCTCATAAGCCATGCACAGTATCAATTAAGGGTATGAGCTCAGGAACTCGACCAGAGAGTGAAGGGATTTTTAAGACTATGTCCTTAGCCTCTGAGGATGGTAGAGGGGAGAGCAACTATTATGACAAATGTAGATATAATTTTGGAAGCACCATTGGCTTAACGTAGGGTGACATGTTTGTGAAATTGTTCTTTAAGTTACTATTTAATCATCACTTGGGGAACAAAGACCAGGGATCTATCCTTCTGTAATAGATAAAATACATAATACTAACCTTGGGAACTATCTAATATTACAGATGTGCTACTCCAGAATAACACATCTTGATACTCCAGCTCTCTTTTGATAAAGAAAAAAAAATCACATATTGAAATAACTAAGAATCTCACAATCTCAGTTTAAAAAACTGAAACCAAAAATCGATACTTGAAAAATCAGTATTATTAATACTTTATATTTGTTTTTTTAAAAATAATTTATTTCCTCCTTTGAAATGTTTTTATTATTGATAAATATTCACAAGACAGAGAAATAGGTTTTTAAAGAAATGTTTCAATATAACAAAGTATTTACAAAAAATTTTAAAATAGCTTTATTGATTTTCAAATACTTCTTCCTTGGCTGAGGCAGGAAGATCACTTGAGCCCAGGAGTTTGAGTCTGCAGTGAGCTATGGTCGCACCACTACACTCCAGCCTGGGTGACACCCTGTCTCTAAAAGAAGAAAAAGACAAATACTTCTTCCTTACCATGAAATTCTCACCTGGAGGATATTACGATTAGTGATATCTTCACAGTCAACAGATCCATTGCAAGCACCTTTCCACCCTGGTGCAAAAGGATTAACTGAAGAGAAAAAAACCAATAGATTCACAAACGGATTCTGAAAAGTTCCAAACATTTCAATAAAGGTCCAAGTGCTGAATTAATTGTGCATGCAGGCATGTGTTTAGTCCAGCTATCTAATCCTAGTAATAAAACAAGGTGCACAATTTGAATAATTTATACTTGATGGTTTCACTCCATCTGGGGGCTAATGTAAGTAACTACAAGGCTTTAAAATGAATAGAAATAAATGTGGTTTGGTTATTCACTTTTACTAAGTTTTCAAAAATGCAATTTAAAATTCTATAAGAAGTTATAAGTGAAATATTAGCTGCATAAAGGCTGTATTAATAAAATATTGATTTTAAAGAAGCAACAATATGTCATTTGAAAGTAATTACTTGGTGTGTTAAGTTTTAAAACCATCAACAGGCTAAGGTCAACTACATACTTTAGTGCTTAACAAACATTTAAGACCTATTACTTTAAAAATATCTTATATTAATACGGTAATTAATTTTGCAATCTATTGTGGTTCAGGACTAAATTCAAAATTAAAGAAATTTTTAAAATTTTACCTTGAAATGCTATAAATAGCTCATGTATGAGGCCATGTTCTGGAATTTCAACAGAATGGCATTTATATGATGGCTCTATGACATGGCATGACAAATCAGACATTAGATTATCCAAGATTTTCTTCAGCACTCTAAAGAACACATCATTGTATCTCCCTATGCAAGACTTTGTGGTAAAACGTACAGCCATCTGATATGAATAATCAGGTTCCCGATAGGCTTTAAAAACAGAAAGATGAGAGTAAAAGCAATGGTGCCTAGCATTAATTTCCTCTACCAAACAATTTTCAAACACTATGTAATACTCAATCCCACCAATCTTGCAATCAGCATAGAAACTTATCTAATAACATGTTTTATCAGTTAGTCCTCACAAAAATACACAAAACTGTTAACTTTAATGAAAAATATTGTTTTCATCTGATATATTATCTACTTGGTACATCAAGAGAAATGGCTTCTGTGGGTTGGCTATATAGATAACAGTATCAAGAAAAAGAAAGACTTTTTGGGGAGGGCCTTAATTCACAGAAATTATTATTGCTGTCAGCACAGCCCAGTGAAAGGATCATTAACTTGCTTTTATAGAATTAAAGATCAGTTTTAAAATTACCTGCTAAATTGTGATAAAGTAGATGTGCTTGCATATCTAGACAGAGGCAAGTAGGGAGTTGAAAGAAGATTATTTAGGATAAACTATCTTGATGTCAACTTAAGAGTTTGCTTAGTCAAATACATCCCGAAATATTTTGTAAGTCGTAATTGGTGATAGTCACCTATTACAGACTCTTTTTCATTAAACGGAGAAACCATACACTTAATTATGATCTGAACTAAATGTACAAGTTAAAAGGTGCCTAAATTCTTACCAAAGACCATAAAGTCATATCTCTTTTTGACTGTCTTTTCTTCTTGGGTTTCTGCTTTAACAGTCTTATAAGAAAGAGTACATGTGTAAAGTCCAGACAAAGGCTCCAAAAAATCTTTCACCATCAGCTGTCCAGTTTTAGTTATATTTATTCTATTATTTCCTAAACAGAATAGTAAATTACTTATTTAACATATAACATATCAAGCATTATTTAGTACACTTGGAGTTACAAATAGATACAAAATTTTAAAAAATTAATGAACTATCTCAACTTTAAGAATCCCACAAAATCTTAATTCTGTCATATTACTCTATGGAAGACTACATAAGTACACTTTTGAAATATATTTTGGTTTTCTTTGTTTCTTGGCATCTAGTTTCAATTGGCTCATACCAGTAATTCAGAAAAAGAGATTACATTGCTCTGTAGTACTATACAATTTCTTCAGACAAGTTGGAAACTAATTAATAATGTTTGTGTTCCAAGGCACTCTTAACATCATGAAAAATTATATATTAGATATTTCATCTCCTATTACTGGTGCTACAATGATAAATTTTAGGTTTTATAAAGATCTTTGAATTAATACAGCTCTGAGAAGTAGGGCACAAAAATTACCGCTTCAGTTTTTGCATACGGAGAAAATAAGGAAGTGGCCAAAATATAACATGATATTTCTAAGTAGGGAGCAAGAGAAACTGCCATTAAAATTAAATTTCAATTTGTTCTTTCCAATAAGCAATAGTGATTTTCTAAAAATATGTTCACATCATTAAAAAAGTACATATTAAAATCAAATTTACCTGTTAACGTCTTTTCATTAGGCCCAATCCATAAGTAGGTGGGGTCCACTATTTCTTTTTTAGAAAGCTTAAAATCCATACAGATAAGGACTGGGCTATTTTGATGTAACTTTACATATATTTTGCCTGTGATGAAATAAAATAATGTATAACTACATTATATAGCAAAATTAAATTAAGAAATATACTCCTACCATTTTGTCCTGAAGACATGAATTAGTTCTTGCTGGATTTCACTATTTTAAAAATCAATATATAACATTTAGAACGCTAGTCTGAAGTCCTTTTTGCTTCTCATAGTAAGCTTTTTAAAACTCTACACTATTAGTCATGAGTCATGACATTTTTCCATATTACAGTTTTGTTTATAAAAATATGCATTATACATTTAAAGTTCATTTTAATGTACAGATTTAGAACTCACTCAAATCATAATTTTTTGGAGGGTTGGTGGAAGCAATTCAAAGTTCAGAAAAGGCCTGGGCACGGTGGCTCATGGCTGTAATCCCAGCATTTTGGAAGGCCAAGGCAGCGGATTGCTTGAGTCCAGGAGTTTGAGACCAGCCTGAGGAAAATGGCAAAACCCCATATCTACTAAAAATACAAAATTTAGCTTGGCGTGGTGATGCAGGCCTATAATCCCAGCTACCCGGGAGGCTGATGGAGGAGACTCGCTTGAACCCGGGAGGCAGAGGCTGCAGTGAGCCGAGACTGCACCACTGCACTCCCGCCTGGGCAACAGAGCGAGACTCCCTCTCAAAAAAAGTTCAGAAAAACACTTCAGCAACACTATTTTAAAGATGATCAGTCGGGAGTGGTGGCTCACGCCTGTAATCCCAGCACTTTGGGAGGATCACCTAGGTCAGGAGTTCAAGACCAGCTTGGCCAACATAGTGAAACCCCGTCTCTACTAAAAATACACAAAAATTTGCTGGGCATGGTGGTGGGCGCCTGTAATCCCAGCTACTTGGGAGGCTGAGGCAGAAGAATTGCTTGAATCCAGGAGGCGGAGGTTGCAGTGAGCCGAGATCACACCACTGCACTCCAGCCTGGGTGATGGAGAGAGACCCTGTCTTTAAAAAAAAAAATATATATATATATATATATATATGTACACACACACACACATACACACATATATATATGCTGGGTGCTGTGGCTCATGCCTGTAATCCCAGCATTTCGGGAGGCTGAGGCGTGCAGATCACCTGAGGTCAGAAGTTCAATACCAGCCTGACCAACATGGTGAAACCCCATCTCTAACTGCAGATTTTCTCCATTAGGAACAATAATTAAGTCTATCTGGGGCATATAGGAAGATGTGCGATTACTCCTTGTTTCTGGTTGGGTGGACAGAACGATGGTATGCTTGGAATCACTGCAACCCGGAAAGATACTAATTTTAAAGCCTACTGAATGCCAGCCAGGCTCTGAGCACATAAAGACAACGTCCTACAATTTGGTTGGGGGTCAGGGAGAGAACCCAAACATACAAGGAGTCTAAACATGACACGTGCTATCAACTGGCTCAATTTATCTAAAATTAGCTATGTAACTAATTTTCCTCGGGAAAGTTTCACTGCAGAGATAAAGGACATTTGAGCTGAGCCCTGAAGGATGCGTGTGAGTTTTCCAGTTAATAAGGAGAGGGTTAAAGATATTCCAAACAGAAGGCCTTGGAAATCACTCCTCTGCGTGGCTTTCCCGCGTTGCAAAGCAGCAGAGACACCTGGAAGTGAGATGGCATCAGAGAAAGAGATCTGGAATAAATCCCAGCCCCTTGTGAGCTGCAAGGCTTTAGAGCAAGGCGACACAATAGGGGTCGCTGTAAGGATGAAAAGATGCGACCGTCCTGAACTGCCAAGCAGATGCTTGGTATAATAGATGCTCAATAAAGGCTGGCTCGTTCTCCCTCCAGGTAAGGGAAGCTCTTCCGGGAAGAGCTTCGCAGTTCCGGCCCCTCCAATGGGCCCGCGTGTGTAGAGGTCCTTATTACCTGGCTGTCCTGTCTTGCCATAAATGAAGCCCTTCGTATTGAATAACGTAGAACGCGGGCATCGGACTGCGGAGGAAAGAAACCACTGACTTTTACTTAGAAGAGGAGCGGGGTTCAGAGTCGGGCAGGGCAGGGCAGGGCAAGGCGAAGGAGGCAGGACCGGGAAGCTCGGGCAGAGGGAGAGGACTGGGCACCGGGCGGAGGGAGCCCCACCTCCTGTGAGGCACCAGAGAACCGCGGAGAGTAGGACCCACGTTCGCATCACACTTCAGGGGCTGGCGTTGCAGGAGGCGTCGAGGGACAGATCCCTTCCTACCTCAGCCCCGGCCCAACACCTCCGCACCTCCCCACCTCCTACACAGTGCGGAGCAGAACGCCGGGGTCGCCTCCCCTACCCGTCCGTCGCCACCGCGGGAGCGGACGCGCAGGAGAGCGCGTGCGTGCTTCGATTCTCGCGCGCTGGGGCTGGGCGACGGCGAGGGAGGCGAGGCGAACGTCAGTTCCCCTCGCGCCCACAGGGCAGCAGGCCTGCGAATCTTCGCGCCTCGCTTCCGGCGCCATTTTCTCGCGCTCCTGGCCCCTTGTTCTCTGAGTGGAGCGGAAGGGAGGAAGAGAGTAAAGGAAAAGAAGCCACAGCGTCGCGTTCCGGGGATTCCCCAGACTAGGGGCTGAAGGGATCAAGGAGAGAACACCGCGAGTCACAAGGACCGTGGTGGGGTAGGGCGGCTAGGGGATGCGATGAGGAATCCCCTAGGAAGGGGACCTGAGGAAGGCAGAGACTTGTGACAATTTCCCCCTCACGTGAAGCAGAGAGGCCCGTGTGGGGATTTCCTGCGCCTCTCTTCTCATGAACACTGAAACTGTGTGTCCAATCTCTTTCAAACTGACACGCGATTTTTACCTAATTGCATTCTTTACCCGCAAGACCAAGACCCAGAAGAGCCACTACTGAGCCAAGAAGGCGCCTCTGGGCCTTCCCACTCGAGAGGAACGTTGAATCTTCATTTTCACTTCAAGTATGAGGCGATGTGAGAGACCTCCCCCAGTGCAAAGGTATCTAGGTTGATGAAGTGACCTTGCTTTAAAAATGGGCCCAGTTGTAAGGCAAGAGCCAGATTGGCTTTTTCTGTAGGGATGAATGATTAGTCAAGATCAGGGAGCTCCAAAGGGGATCATGCCCTCGTCTTTGATGGTTCCTTCTTGGCTACTAGTTTGGTGACCCGAAAGGCCCTGTGCGTTGTCTGTTTCTTAGCAGCGGGACACCACCCTCAGTAGTGGTTTTGAGTAGGCTGGTTAGTAGAGAGAGCCCAAGGTTCAGACAGGGTGCAGAATGGTTATTTTGGGTGAGATCAAGAGTTTTCGGTTTTATTTCCTTTGAGCCGAGTCAGTACTTGGACTATCTCATATGGTCCAGGAGCAACCTTTGTCAGTAATTTCATTTTTAGTCACTGTTAATTTTACCTATATAGCATAAGCCATGAAATGTGACTCAGTGAGTCAGATCCACCCATTGTCAGTTACCATGTCTGGATTCATGGTCTGGTCTCAACTGCTCTCTTCTTAAGGTGATGATAATGAAGACAGATTTAGGCATTATCTTGATTCCCTACAAGTTCGTCATTCCAGTTTTTGTCAAAGTACATTATAAATCCACAGTGTGTTTTATTGGCTTCTCGGTTTTTGGTAAGTAACTGATCCTTGTAAATCCTATGTGATAAACTAAATCCTATGAGAGGAGACTTAACCAAATGAGTAATAGTTGTCTGTCAGAAGTACCCATCCACTCTTTTTATATAAACTTTTTATTTTAGAAGAGTTTTATATTTACAGAAAAATTGCAAAAACAGTACAGGGAGTTTTTACATACTCCCTCCCGATTTTCCCTATTACTGACATCTTACATTGGTATGGTACATTTCTTACAATTAATGAACCAATATTGATACATTACTATTAACTGAAGTCCAAACTTTATTCAGATTTCCTTACTTTTTTATTCAATGTCCTCTCCACCCCGTTTCTTTTTGTTTGTTTGTTTGTTTGTTTGTTTTTGCTCCAGGATCTCATGCGGGATCCCACATTACCTATAGTCATTGTATCTCCTTAGATTCCCCTTGGCTGGGTCAGACTTCTCTTGTTTTTGAAGGTCTTGACCTGGCTTTAACTGGTGAGGTATTTTGTAGAATGCCTCTCTACTGGAATTTTGTCTTTCTGCATATTAGACTGGAACTATGGGTTCTTAGGATGAAGATTACAGAGATAAAATGACATTCTCATCACATCATATCAAGGAGACATACTATCAACATGCCTTATCACTTGATGTTAACCTTGGTCTGCTGGCTGAGGTACTGTTTGTTAGGTTTCTCCACTGTCAGTTTATTCCCCCGCTTTCATACTATACTCTTCGGAATGAAGTCACTTTGTGCACCCACACTTAAACAGTGGAGATTTATGCTACATCTCCTTGAAGATGGAGTAGCTACATAAATTATTTTACCAATCCACTTTCAATCCACTTAGGTATCACTCTCAGGAGTCTGAAATACTCAGTATTGAACTATTTACAGAGTACTAACACATTCTACTGTCAAATATACAGAGAACATTGTAATGGAAAATCATAAAGTTTCCTTACAACTTTTTTTTTTTTTTTTGAGATGAAGTCTCACTCTGTTGCCCAGGCTGGGGTGCAGTGTTATGATCTTGGCTCCCTTCAACCTTCGCTTGCAGGGTTCAAGCGAGTCTCCTGCCTCAGCCTCCTGAGTAGCTGGGATTACAGGCGTGCGCCACCACGGCCAGCTAATTTTTGTGTTTTTAGTAGAGACAGTATTTCGCTATGTTGGCCAGGCTGGTCTCGAACTCCTGACCTCGTGATCCACCTGCCTTGGCCTCCCAAAGTGCTGGGATTATAGGTGTGAGCCACTGCGCCTGGCCCACAGCTTTTTAATAACCAAATAAGTTTTCATCCTCATACCATCCTTGTGAAATTTTACAGTTCCTCTTCTGCTACTTTTGATGTGCTATTTTTGCTTCTAGAAACTAACAAACAACAAATTTCCCCTTTCAGTACTAAAATTAGACCTAGTGTTTAGAGTATTTCTCCAAAATTGATATCCTGCAGAACTCCCAACTCATGCAGTTATAGAGATGCTACTGTGGTGCTTAAAGCCAGTGTAGTTTTTCACCCACTTAAATATATTTATATATACAGACATCACATAGACTGCCTATACCAACGACGTACTATTGTTTAAAACTACAATTCATAAAATTACAGCATGTATACTTTAACTTGTAAGTGTGAGTTTCTTCTGATATGGTCAGCTGATGCACAAACCCTCAACCTTAAGTTTCAAATATATTTGTATACACTCATATAATTTTCTAATAGCGGAGACGGTGGCCTTTTGAGACTCATTCATATATTGTCCAACACTCTGGGCATCTTTAGAAGGGCTCACCTGAACAATGTCACTTAAACCTCAATGTGAAGAAAAGTTCTGCTTTGAAAAACAGTTTTGTGGTCACTTCCCCTTTCCTCTCTCTGCAGTCAAATGTGTGCTTTACCTCTGGACAGTAGGGAGGATGTTGGGAGAAGATGTTGACTGATACATATCTGTATACTAACATCTTTAAGTTAATTTTACTATCTTACTGCCCCCACCTTCAACCCTTAGCTCTACTTTCTTTGATTAATTTTCTGGTACATCCTGTACGTATTTTTGTAAGGTGTCTATTTGGAAGAAGGCAGGCTGGGAGAAAATCACCACACTCTATAAAACACTCACTCTATTTATATAGAGTGGGTAGTATTGTGTGAGTGGTGGCAAATAAACCAAGCAGTTCCCAGAGGGAAAATAAAAGTGAGATAATTGCTTCCAAAAATTAAAAAGTTGAATTGATAAAAGTGCCAAAATCCAACTGTCTGTCTGAAAACTTGGATCAAAAACTTTTACCATGTGAAATGAAAAAGTGAGGAAGCAAAAAAAAAAAAAATACTTTGAAAGAAGGGAGTTCTCATTGATACTTTCCACGGCTGTTATCACCGAATCTAGACAAAAAGTTCCAGATCTCCCTCAATTTAAGATAAACGTCTTTGAACTTGAGCTTGCCAAGAAAGCAAGGCTGACCCCCCACCCTCCGTGTGATATTACTTTTCTCATCCATTATCCTTCTAAAATAGACATTTTGAGACAATTTAGTGATGCGCCATTTCCATCCTGTCGGGGTTCCTTGGGTTTGACATTCAAAAGGGGGCTGGAGGTGCGGAACCCGCCGCACTCCACGGCCAGCGTCCTTTAAAGCCGCCGCCAGCCAGCGCCGCTGTAACCCCGCGCACCGGCAGGTCGCCGGCTCCTGCCCCTTTCAGTCTGCGCCGACGCGGCGGCCGGATCCCGGGGACTCCCCGTGCCGGGAATCTCCCGCCAGCTGCGCGCTGAGTCCAGGCGACGGCAGGAGCACGTGGAGAGGCCGGGTAGCCACAGCGGCAGCTCCAGCCGGGCCCGGCAGCGACATGGAAGGTGAGCCTGCAGCGCGCTTCTTTTCTCCGGGGTCTTTGAGAAGCTTGGCCTGTGCAAGCAGCAGAAACAGTTTCTTATGAATCTCGGTTTTGCTTCTATTTATTTCTTTTGTCAAAAGTAAATATGAGGTATTTCGGAGGACAAAGCGCGTCGGTTCTCGTACGTCTCTCACTTGTCCTTCCCCCGCCCTTTGGAAAGTGATAACTTCTTTGCAATTTTATTTCTAAAGGGTTGTCAGACATGGGGGGTCTACCCTACATCTGCAGAGGAAGAGCACTTAAGGGGTGTCCCTGAAACGGCTGCAAATCTGGGGGTGGAATAACCAACACTTTTGGATATTTTTTCCTTCGTGGCCTCAGTGTTCATTGGAATTAGGCTAATCTGAGTAACTTGTTTTCTTACAAGGGTAAATGGTGTCATCTGGGAAAGGTACATTTTAAAGCGTTTGGCACTTGCAGTTCCCTTAGGATTCGATCTTCTAATGAGTCTTCTTTACCCAACGCAAAAATCAGGTTTACTTTAGGAGTTTCATGTTAATTAATTTTGAAAGTCGTAACGCTATCCTCGCTTCTCAAACATTTTTCATTCTATACTTCCTTGGGATACCTAAAATTTCACACTGCTACTGTAAACTCTTCAGTGGTCTTTTCAACAAGTGTTTCTAAAACCTTGAAAATGGCAAATGCATCTCAACTGGGGGGATGGTGGGATTATGAAATTCAGAATTTCATTCTATTAAAAATGAGATATTGACACCTAACTAAAATGTTACTTTGATAAATA